ACCGACTCCATTTCTTCCTGCCTATTTGTTTCACAATCGGTTCCTGCCAGGTTGGTTCGCTCCCAGGGATCTCTATTGCTGATCTTTTCTGGTTGGCCATCTGATCTTGAGTATTGAGCGAAGACAACTGTTAATGAAGGTCTGTAGTTTGTTCGAAGTGGTCTTCATGACGCGCAGTGCAAGTCTCTGATCGATGAAGTAGCACTGATTTCACATTGCAATTGAAAATCCGTATCTTATTCTCATTTTCATGCTGAGTGCTGTTGACCTCCACACAGACTTGAGAGTAGTGAAAGCTTGTCTTGCTTTTCCGATTCTCGCTGCTTTGATATCCTCGTCAGTTCCGCCTGCCTGTAGTTGAAACGACGATGCTTCCAGGTAGGTAGGTAAAAGAGGTAGTTTCCTTCAGGTTCCTCCCATTTATGCTGATTATAAAAAAGAATATATATGAGCATATTCTCCTAAGCTTGAACTGCTGCACGCTTCTGTGCAAAGTTTCCCGTTGAAGGCCAGTCAGTCAGCTAGTCGGTTTCATTTAACTTCACACTGGGAGAGAGCCGATATGTGGAAAAGAAAGAGATTGAACATTCCAGTCTAAAATAATCTGTCAACTGGAAATACAAATTAAGTCAAACAAATAACAACTCATATTCGTTGAACAAGAGGTGGTTCTCATGGCCTGGAGGATAACTCTTTAGCATTTGAAACGATGAGTGCCGAGTTAGAGTCTTAGTGAGAACACCACTCATCACTAACAGAGTGGGAAGAGACACAGTTACACTCAGATGATGAGTCGTAAAACTGGACGAAATGCAAATTCTGAACTCCACTGCTAGCCATCCATTAACCAAAATAATTAACATCTCTCTTAATCAGTATAACTAAGCATAAAAAATGAAGATGCTGTAGATACACTTGTCTCTAGAATTGGTCGTTTTATCATTAATTTGCTTCAATTGAGCGTTTGCTATCCAAACGTATCATCGAACACTTACTCTAGCGGTTTTATAAAGAAGAAGAATCTTCCCCAAACCCTCAGCTCTATCCTGGAACACATGATCGAATCTGGACACCAAGCTAGCAGTAGAATCCAGCCAGGATGCGCATTTCGTCCCATGTGGGACTTGTCAGCCAACTGGATGTACCTGCATTCCGCAGTGAATCAGTGATGATGTTCCCACTGAGGCTCAAACCCAGTGCCCATAGTTTCAAACGCCAAAGTGTTATCCACTAGACCACTTGGGTCACAAGAGCCACCTGTTATGCAACGGGTCATATTAATTATTTAAATTTTAGATTTTCCCGTTCGAACCTCGGTGGGAACATCATCACTGACTCACTGCGGAATGCAGGTACATCCAGACGGATGACGAGTCCCAAATAGGACGAAATGCGCATCCTGGCTGGACTCCACTGCCAGTCACTATCCACCAATTAAATTCTAATTACATGCCCAGACATCATCGAAGCATTTGCACAAGAAGCCGACAGACATGTCAACCTGAGGTGGAGCACTTCGTTCCAATCAATCGAGAGGGAAAATCTAAAACTCAATTAAACAACTTCAAAGTTTTTTACAGAATAAGTGGGAATCTTGTTAAAAGGGAACGAATCAAACTCCTGTAAATCTCAGAAGCAATGGTGACTCATTTTTTAAATCCTGAACGCTGCATACAACAGAAGTTTGTTTAGTCATTGAATCTATAATGGACCTGATCTATCTTAATACTGGATAAGTAATTATTATTTTACGTTTCTTTGTTGCATTATTTTCTTCCCTCACCCCCCCTTCAAGTGGAATTTCTACCCCTTACCACCACTATTGTTAACTTGACTTTCCGTCAAATTCCAGCTGAATTCTACTGAACCCCGTCAATTGTATTACGTCACTCAATCGACTTATTTTACCCTAGTTTACTACCCCATTAACGCTTTCTACACTATGTAATTTGTTATCTCATATATATAAATATATATACAGTACAGTTTGGGGTTGATATCGCCGAAAAGAGGAGTAACTCTTCGCTGAACGTCTTTTCGTTCATATGATTCAATTAGGAATTTTTACGTTGCATTCACGAGAGGACGTCAGTGCATAAAAACAAAAAAGGTGGAGGTGATGAGGATGACCAACTAACAGTAACAACAACCAGGACCAGGTTATTTCCTTCACGTATCTAGGAAGCACTGTTTCAACCACAGGCCAATGGAACGGATGAAGATTTCAAAACTAGCCAGAATTGGGAAATACCAGGAATGCTTTCATCTACCTGAAACCAGTGTGCAATGTTCTGCACTAAATCAGTATAAGCAACAAGATTTGGATTTTCAAAACCAATCTTAAGTCAGTCACTTCTTTTATATGCGTTTGAAACTTTACCTGTGGGTCAGGAACAGGATTTCAAACAAGTTAGAGACGTCACACACAAACCAACAAAATCACTTCACCAGTCAACTAGCTCGCTCAACCGAAAGACTTAACAACGAAAGAAGATAAAACCAATATCATCTACAAAATAAACTGTAAAAAGTGCGAAAAACAGTAGATTGGCCGAAGTGGATGTCCGCTTCGTCTTCGTATCCATGAACATAAACTAGCCGTCAAAAGACATGACATCCACTCTCTCGCTCATATCACTACATACAGACAACCACGAACATCAATTCCACTGGGACAACCAGCGTTCAAATATTAGACAGAGGAAACACCAAGAATACTAGAGAATTTTTAGAAGCCTACCTGGTATTCCAGTGAACTGTCACATAACAGACACATTGACACAGACAAAATTTACCAACCGATAAGAAGGAAATCTCATTCACATAGGGTCAAACTTCAGGTCAAGGAAACAATCAGTACCAATACAAGTAGCCTAGAGGGTGTGAAAACACACAAAAACAACCAATCACGTTCAAGGTGACCCACCAGGAGAGATGACTAGTAAACTCGTGGAGAAATCTAAAAGCTCACTTCAATTCAAATTGAAGTTTTCGCTGAATGTGTTGCCTAGTAGGGGAATGAAAGCTTCGCAAATTAACTATCCAGCTCAGAGAATACAACCACATCAAAATCAGGCTTAAGTCAGTCGGCTAGTCAGTTCTTTTATATGGGTCAGAAACTTGGCCAGCGTGTCATGAAAAGGATTTCCAACAGCCAGCTGCAGACTTTTATCACTTAACCGGCTGGTCTCATACTGAAGATCAGATGGCCGGCTAAAGAAAATTAGCGACAAGAAATTCTGTCTGGGAACAAACCAGCCAAGAGCGAATCACTCAGCAAATATGTAAGAGAAAATGAAGATGGATCGGGCACACGTTGAGGAAACCGTTGAATGACATAGTACGCAATGCAGGCCATCGTGCGGGTAGGATATGAGAGATTACAGGCAACTGTAGGCCCGGCTGAAGAGGAGAGCATGAAATAGAACACAGCGGGGATGTGTTGTTGAAGCCCTATTCTCCACTCGGAACCCTGATGCTGCTGCTGCTGGATTCAACATAGAACTTGGCACTGAAGTGCAGCAGTTCAAGTTCCCAAGTTCCAAAATAGCACACAAAGGTAGACAAGAAGATGAGTGAAGAGAATCAATAGAGTTTTGAAAAGTATAAGAGTGAAACAGAATGAGTAATAGTAGAAAGGAATATGAAAGATTACACAAGAGAGTGAATACATCTGCGTAGGCCATTGACAACGATTTTGAGCCATGTCACCTATTGTCTCCAGCCATTGATTCTTAGAGTCCCGAGGGCGGGCCCCAACCCGGAAGTCTGCATCTCCCTACCTGACTCAGTTTAACTGTCAAGGATTTCATGGATTGATTGATGCCATGTTTTTGTTTGGCCACCACTTACTCTTTTCCAACCTGCACCTATATCTGCTGCTGCAGCTGGATTCAACATAGCACTTGGCACCGAAGGATGTCCACTTTCCCCTTTTCTGTTTAACTTCATCATAGATATGCTAATGGAAGTATCCTTAACTGAACTTAATGACTTAGGAATCGACTTGTTACCAGGGAATAGTCTTATAGACTTAGAATACGCAGACGACATAGTCCTGTTAGGGGAGGACGCTGACAGAATGCAGAGTCTTCTGAACACCTTGAGCAGCAATCTTCGTATGTTTGGCATGCGATTCGCCCCTGTGAAATGTAAGATGCTGCTACAGGACTGGACTACGTCAACTCCTAGCTTAGTGATAGGGAGTGAAGTGATAGAACATGTTGACCACTCCACCTATTTGGGAAGTTGTATCAGCACCAACGGATTGATTGGTGACGAAATCACAGCACGGATCCAGAAAGCTCGGGCTGCTTTCGCTAACTTACACCATCTCTGGCGTAGGCGTGACATCCGGCTGTCAACCAAGGGACGTGTGTACTGCTCAGAAGTTCGCTCCGTCCTTCTCTATGGCGGTGAGACGTGGCCATTGAGAGCGAAAGACATGAAGAGATTGCCTGTTTTTGACCACAGATGTTTACGATCTCTTTCTCACGTTAGGTGGTATAATAAGATAAGTAATGTTGACGTTAGGCGTAGAGTGTTGGGCAAAGAGGGAAAATCACTCGAAGAGGCTATGAAGTTACATAGATTGAGATGGTTAGGCCACGTGCTGCGCATGCCTAACCATCGTCTCCCCCGACGGGTATTACTAGCTGATATAGGTGCAGGCTGGAAAAAAGTAAGTGGTGGCCAAAAAAAAACATGGCATCAATCAATCCGTGAAATCCTTGACAGTTAAACTGAGTCAGGTAGGGAGATGCAGACTTCCGGGTTGGGGCCCGCTCGGGACTCTAAGAATCAATGGCTGGAGACAATAGGTGACATGGCTCAAAATCGTTGTCAATGGCTTGCGCAGATGTATTCAGTCTCTTTAACCTTCATATTCCTTTCTACCATTACTCATTCTGTTTCACTCTTATACTTGTCAAAACTCTATTGATTCTCTTCACTCATTTTCTTGTCTACCTTTGTGTGGTATTTGGAACGTGGCAACTGGAACTGCTGCACTTCGGTGCCAAGTTCTATGTTGAATCCAGACAGACAGACAGACAGACTTGGCACCGAAGTGCAGCAGTTCGAGTTGCCACCTTCCAAATAGCACACAAAGGTAGACAGGAAAATGAGAGAAGAGAATCAATAGAATTTTGATAAGTATAAGAGTGAAACAGAATGAGTAATGGTAGAAAGGAATATGAAGGTTAAAGAGACTGAATACATCTGCGCCATTGACAACGATTTTAAACCTATATCAGCTAGTAATACCCGTCGGGGGAGGCGATGGTTAGGCGTGTGCAGCACGTGACTTAACCATCTCAATCTATGTAACTTTATATTCTCTTCGATTGATTTTCCCTCTTTGCCCAACACTCTACGCCTAACGTCAACATTACTTACCTTATTATACCACCTAACGTGAGAAAGAGATCGTAAACATCTGTGGTCAAAAACAGACAATGTTTTCATGTCTTCCGCTCTCAATGGCCACGTCTCACCGCCATAGAGAAGGACGGAGCGGACTGCTGAGCAGTACACACGTCCCTTGTTTGATAGCCGGATGTCACACCTACGTAAGAGACGGTGTAAGTTAGCGAAAGCAGCCCGAGCTTTTTGAATCCGTGCTCGGAACCCAAGGAAACAATGATCATAATAATGAGTTCTCGCGTTGTACAACGCACCTGCTTGCACACATACACATACACACACACTTGAAGATCGTTCCACAATATTTTTATCTGACTTACTTAATTCTACGTCTTTTTCATTTGGAAGTTGGATATCTTCATCAACAAAATCCTCCATAGGTGGTTGTGGTGGTGGCGGTATACATTCCTCGTCGATAACCGATGTCACCGGCTCGTCTGTATTCATCATTTTCATCATCGCATGATCAACTGAAACCTTTTCATTTATATTGTCCGTGAGATAGGCATCGTTATGATTTGAATTTGCCAATTGATAAAGTATTTCATCCTGAGTAATTTATTTATTAATGATGCGAATGACCAATGAAAAGAAAAATTTTTTAAGAGGTTATTTATAGGAAAAACAACAAGACAGTTGCAATGAAGACACTTTTCTTTGTTCTCGACGAAGTCATCAACAAGGCTGACCATTCGTGAATATATATATATATATATGATGGAGATTTGTAGCTCAGGTGTATGATTTTGATGTGGTTGTGTTCTCTGAGCTGGATAATCAATTTGCGAAGCTTTCATCGCCCTACTACGCAACATATTCAGTGCATACTTCAGTTTATTGAATTGAAGTGAGCTTCTAGATTTCTCCACGAGTTTATTAAATATCTCTCCTAGTGGGTCACCTAGAACGTGATTGGTTGTTTTTGTGTGTTTACGCATCCTCCATGCTTCTTGTATTGGAACTGATTGGTACCTTGACTTGAACTTTGACACTTTGTGTGTCAGATTTCCTTCTTATCGATTGGTAAATTTTGTCTATCTACATATGTCTGTTGGTTGACGATTCACTGGAATACCAGACTACTAAAGACTGTCTAGCATTTTTGGTGTTTCCTCTATCTAACATTTGAACGTTGGTTGTCTCAGTCGAATTGATGTCCGTGGTTGTCTGTATGCGGCGATATGAGCGAGGGAGTGGATGTAATGTCTTTTGAAGGTTAGTGAGTTTATGTTCATGGATACGAAGACGAAGGGGACGTCGTCCACTTTGGCCAATGTAGTGTTTTTCGCAGTTGTTACAATTTATCTTGTAGATGATGTTGGTTTTATCTTCCTTCGCTGTTGAGTCTTTTGGTTGACATAGAATTGAGTGAAGTGATTCTGCTGGTTTGTGTACGACGTCAATTCCTAAAGGTTTGAAGAGTCTTGCAGTGGTTTCTGAGATATCCTTTATACATGGTAGAAGGATTTCCTTTGTGCTTTCCTTGGGAGCCTTTGATTCGGTAGGTTGGCTTCGGGGTAGATGTCTTTTGATGAAATTCTGTGGATATCCATTCTTTTGGAAGACGTCCATGAGACATCTTTCTTCAATTTTCCTTAAGGTGAGAATGCTGCAATGAGTCCTGGCCATCTTGAATAGTGTTTGTATACAACTCTTTTTGTGTGTTATTGGATTGTTGTTGTTGTAATTGAGTATTTGATCTGTGTGATTTGATTGTCTATAAACTTCAGTTTCTAATTCCCCTGTGGTTGTTCGCTTGACTAAGACGTCCAAGACGCCGTCTCCGTATCCATCAACATAAACTAACCTTCAAAAGACATGACATCCACTCTCTCGCTCATATCGCTGCATACAGACAACCACGGACATCAATTCCACTGGGACAACCAACGTTCAAATATTAGATAGAGGAAACATCAAGAATGCTAGAGAATTTTCAGAAGGCTGCCTAGTACTACAGTGAATCGTTAGTCAATAGACACATCGACATAGACAAAATTCACCAACCGATAAGAAGGAAATCTCACACACAGAGGGTCAAACTTCAGGTCAAGGAAACAATCAGTACCAATACAAGTAGCCTAGAGGGTGTGAAAACACACAAAAACAACCAATCACGTTCAAGGTGACCCACCAGGAGAGATGACTAGTAAACTCGTGGAGAAATCTAGAAGCTCACTTCAATTCAAATTGAAGTATGCACTGAAGATGTTGACTAGTAGGGCGATGAAAGCTTCGCAAATTAACTATCCAGCTCAGAGAACACAACCACATCGAAAGCATCCACCTGAGCTACAAATCTTCTCAATCATATATATATATAATTTCTTCACTTTCCCTGTGGAACATAGGGCTTCAAGATAAATCTTTGAAGCTTAGGTAGCAGTGGTATTTATTTTTAAGGGATGAATTTGCTGGCTTCACGCTCAACCTTCCTTCTTTACAGTCTTATTACTGGCTTAGCGAGGTAAAGGAGTGTGTTGGCGACCGGGGATCGAACCCTGAACCACACTCGTGGTTGGCGAGTGTTCTCCCGCTGCGCCACCGACGCTTCGTGAATATATAACAGAGGGATAAGAAAGTTCCAGAACTGTTTCCTTTACTTCAAATTCAACAACAAGATCTACAGGTGAATAAATAGTGCAATAATGGGTTTCCCTCTCTCGGACGGCTTATGGCCGACTGTTTTAATGGCTAGCCGCCTAAAAAGAGACTATGTTATCAATTAAAAAACAATCAGTGAGCTTCATATCTCTGCCAAAGGTGTATCGATGATACTTTAATTATTTATGACAAGAATTAGAATTTCGAAAACTAACTCCCAACCCTTGATAATGCTCACTCAAAGATCAATATCACTTGAGAAGTAGAATCTCTTCTACGAGTTTGACCACGGATGGATATCAGTTAGAGAACCATTGAAAACCAACACCAGAGTACTGGACAACTGTGTGATCCTAGCTCAGCTATATTACTACATGCAACTAAACACAACCATATAATAGGATAGATGGGATAATAATAATAATAACAGTGAGTTTGTGTCAAAGAGTATTGTCGATTCAGTTTGGAAATTTCAGCATGTTATAGATTATTGAATCTAATGTTCTGTTGATACAGTATGGTGAGGGGAAAAACAAAATTGACAGTTATAATACAGCTTAAATGATGTTCACACTTATGAAAAAATAAACAAATCAAAACAAAAATTGAGAGGTTAATTCCATATTAGTTTGTTTATTAGGTATATCACACAGTGAAACAGTATTATTTACTGGATGACGTTTCGAACAAAATTTATTGTTCATAATCATATCAATTGTGATCACACGACTTTGACACTTGAGTTTTATAGTTTTCTTTGTTCTCTCCTATTCGTCGTATGGGTAGTAGAATTTTCCAAATATCGGGGACAGGTGATGAATCATTCCTATTACATGTATTTGTAGTTGATTCGATAAACAAAGCTTCTGTTATCAATCTCTCCCTATACCCTGTGACATTAGATTTTAAAACTGTCATCCTATCCCATCCTATTGTATGGTTGTGTGTGACTGCATGTAGTGCTATAGCTGAACTATTCTCTAGATTTCTTATCTTATTCGGGTCAACCAATCTAGATTTTGCTAAGTTTTTATGTTCAGCTAGTCTGACTGCCCCTGTTCTACTAGTTTGACCTATGTATTTGACCTGACAATCATTGCACGCAGGGTATTAGGTAAACTAAATTGTTTTGTTTTAAAGGCTCTACAGGATCCTTTAACCGACAAAGCTTGTTTCTAATTGAGTTTGTGGGTTTGAATGATCGGAAGTCCAGATATCTGTTGGATATCTGGACTTCCGATCATCCCATCCTATGTCAGTAAAAATAGGATTGGTGAAATGTTTAAATGACAGAGCACAAAAATTAAATAGTACCAAAGAAAATCTAAAACAGGAACTAACACACATAAAAGAAGCCTTGAAACTTAATAATTACCCGGATAAATTAGTCAGGAAATATGTAAAGAAAAGTAAAAATAAAATAAATAATGATAGTAGTGATAGTGATAATAACAATAATAATGATAGTGATAATAATAATAATATTATTAATGACGACACCAACAATAAAGAATCTAAATCATCAGTAGTAATTCCATACAAGGAAGGAACCTCGGAAGCCTTACGCAGAATTCTTAACAAGGCAGGAATAAAAACGGCATTCAAACCCACAAACTCAATTAGAAACAAGCTTTGTCGGTTAAAGGATCCTGTAGAGCCTTTAAAACAAAACAAGTTAGTTTACCTAATACCCTGCGTGCAATGATTGTCAGGTCAAATACATAGGTCAAACTAGTAGAACAGGGGCAGTCAGACTAGCTGAACATAAAAACTTAGCAAAATCTAGATTGGTTGACCCGAATAAGATAAGAAATCTAGAGAATAGTTCAGCTATAGCACTACATGCAGTCACACACAACCATACAATAGGATGGGATAGGATGACAGTTTTAAAATCTAATGTCACAGGGTATAGGGAGAGATTGATAACAGAAGCTTTGTTTATCGAATCAACTACAAATACATGTAATAGGAATGATTCATCACCTGTCCCCGATATTTGGAAAATTCTACTACCCATACGACGAATAGGAGAGAACAAAGAAAACTATAAAACTCAAGTGTCAAAGTCGTGTGATCACAATTGATATGATTATGAACAATAAATTTTGTTCGAAACGTCATCCAGTAAATAATACTGTTTCACTGTGTGATATACCTAATAAACAAACTTATATGGAATTACTTACTACCACAGTGCCCAAGTTTTACACATATATTAAAAATTGAGAGGATTATAAATATAAGAAGTACAATAACAATAAAGGTTGATGTTATAAGGTTGAAGGAAAATGGTTTATTTACTAGTGCAAAAAAGGTTAGTTAGTTCATGCCTAACACTATTTTCATCACATAAAGTACGTGCCAAATATGGTATAGTGAAATTTTGATACTTAGATGTACATGCATAAAGTCTTCTGGAAAGACTTCTTGTTTTACCTGATGAGACACAAGGTTGGAGCTGCGGGTGCTGTGGTGGACGATCACAGTCTGACAAAATTCCTTTAGCAAATTTGTTGCATGACATCAAATGCCTATCAGTGACAATGTCAGCGATATGGCCCTATGGGATACCACTCACCCTACTGACAGTCTTCAGAGTTCTACGAAGTATGACATAGTCTTTTTTAGGCAATCCAGGAAAGAATAAGGGTGAACAGTAAAGAAGAATAGGTAAGACGCATGACTTGACAAACTGTAAGAGGATGGGTTGGGTTATGCCTTAACTTCTTAACGTAAAAAGTCAAACGAAATATTCTTTTAGAAATCGCTAAGACATGGGAAGACCAGAACAGATCAGTAGAAAGAATTAATCCAAGATACTTAACTTCAGACTTGATTTCTATATCACTATCATCAATTTTGCAACGGTCATAGGAACCAACAGCTTCGTCATTTAACTTTCTTTTACATCGGAAACTGAAATTCACAGTCTGACATTTGGAAGGATTTAGTTTAAGACCATTAGACGAAGACCATTTGCTAACTCCTGATAGAAAGCTATTCATCTTAGTGCAGTCTAGCTGGGAGTTAACAGACATTGAAATAGTTAGATCGTCGGCATACTTAACAAAGTTCATTTCATCAGAGTGAGGCAAGTCATGCAAGAAGAAAGAAAACAGAAAAGGAGAAAGGACAGCGCCTTGAGGTACATCAGCCTCAGTAAGATGACAGTTTTAAAATCTAATATAACAGGGTGGAGAGGAGAGAGAGATTGATAACGGGAGCTTTATTTATCGAATTAACTGAAAATACGTCAAATAGGAATGATTCAACATCTGTCCCGTCGGACATCTGGAAAATTCTACTACCCCAATGACGACAAAAAGGAAAGAATAAAGAAAACTATAGAACGAAAGCTTACGGATTGTGTAGTTACACCTAAGATGACATGATTATGAACAATATAAAAATTGTGTTCAAAACTTCATCACCAAGTAAATAATAATCTTTCACCGTATGTATGATGTATCTATCTAATAAACAAATTAATATGGAATTAAAAGACAAATTCAGAGAAGAAAATTTTCTTTATCGTTGAAACCATCTTCAGAGGGTGTACAATCGTATTTATATTTATTCATTGGAACTATTTGCTTTATATGCAAATTCATTGAGGGTAATAATGTAGACATGCGTGTTCCGATCTACTACTTAAAGGAACTTCTGTTGAGGTGCAATTTAAATGTCCAATTCAAGTTCAACAACACGCTTTATAGACAAAGAGATGGAGTGACAATGGGGTCACCATTGGGTCCCATACTTGCAGACTGCTTCTTGGCAAGTCTAGAGAAGAGTATGTTACGACCTACTATCGATAGTTTCCATTTGTACCAAAGATACATGGATGATACTTTCATCAAGCGTGACGAGAATACCAACATCGAATTGATAACTAAAGAGTTCAACAGCTGTCATCATACCACCCAATTCACGTCGAAATCAGAGATGAACTCGGAATTCCATTTTTCGGATGTTTTTCTAAAAAGGAGATCTGACGGTTCTCTTCAAAGATCGATCTACAGGAAACCAACATGGAAATGGTCAGTACACGAATTTTCATAGTTGGGTCGCTTTGAGAAGAAAGAGAAACCTGACCTACTCCTTATCCTCCAAGAATAAGATGGATGTGCTCCAGTGATACAATTGACGGGGAACTGGAGCGACTCAGAGAAGTCCTCATAGAGGATGGATATCCTCTAAGATTTATCGAGAAGAACATGAAGTTAAAACAAAAGCCTGAAAGAACCTAAACGGTGCCCAAGAAACTGCTATTTATGAACGTTGAAATTAAAGGTAATGCCGCAGCTGAGAAAAGCCTTCTTTGCGGCTGAGCTACGGATCAATTTCTGCAGCCGATAAATGATCAATGGATGTGTGAAGGATAAACTGTCGCTTTGAACGGTCCACTTCAATATGTGTTTATAAATTCACCTGCCCGTGTGGAGCTAGTTATACTGGCCGCACAAAACGCACACTTCCCAAACGCATCTCTGAACACTATTCCGCATGGTTAGCAAAAGGACAACGCAAGACAGTTACCAGCTCAATTCTCGAGCACATGGTGTACTCAAACCACACAGCTCCACCACAATCGTCTTTCAAGATCATCTACAAGATGAGGCCAAATGGTACAAAGGGTGTCAGGTTTCGGCTTTAGTGTATGGCGAAGGCTCTGGCAAATCGTCAATACAACCCCGAACTCTGTATATACAGAAAAAGTCTGTCCAGTCTCTTATTCTACCATGGTCTAAACCTCTTAATTAGTCGTTCCCTGTAAATGTTTTAGCTTTACTTTTAGTTTGCTTTTACTTCAATAATTAATTCACTATTATCACTCTCATATGTTCCTTCTGTACATTTTCACGCTCTTTTCACACTTTTTAAATTGACACTCAACTACCTTTATCCCACCTTTTATGCTTGAAGATAACCAGACAAATATGGCTGAGGATAACTTGACTAAGGCTGAGGCTTTGTCCAAGCACTTTAGTCAAGTATTCTCTGATAATATTGATACCAGCTTTGTAACTTTTCCAGAAGGTAACTTGAAAATGGCACCCTTATACATTGGAAAGGATACTGTCCTAAAGTAGCTTCTAAGGTTCAATCCTGGTAAGTCCAGTGACCCTGATGAACTCCACCCACGTATATTAACAGCATTGGCTGAAAACATAGCCGAGCCATTGTCGGTAATCTTCAATATGTCTCTGGGCCAGTCTAAATGTCCAAGAGACTGGAAAGATGCCATCATTAGTCTGGTCTGATGACATCAAGATATGGAGGGCTTTACACGATGACAGTGATCACCTTGCTTTGCAGGAAGATTTAAACTTGTTAAGTGATTGTTGTAAGCACTGGGCCTTGGAGATTAACTTAAGCAAGAGTGTAGTTATGCATGTATCTCATAGTCACGTGCACAATTACTCAATGAATGGCATTACTCTCCCAGTGGTCACTAAGTACAAGGACTTGGGAGTGGTTGTGCAGCATGACTTGAAAACAGCAACAAACTGTAGAGCTGCAGCCACTAAGGGCTTTCGGATATTGTGGGCCATACACAAGGCTTTTGCGAACTTTGACGCTGATATATTTCGTATATTATATCCGACTTATATCAGACCTCATTTGGAATATGGGATCCAGGCAGCGAGCACATGTTTCAAATACGAAATAGACTTATTAGAAAGGGTGCAAAGAGTAGGAACTAAGCTAATAAAGGGTTTCTCAACCCTCTCATATGAAGAGAGGTTAAGTCGACTGGGTTTATTTCCACTGTCATACAGACGACTTAGGGGTGACCTAATACTAGCATACCGTATCCTAAGAAATGATTTTGGAGCAAATTTATCTAATTTATTTCTTCCTTCTAGCACCAACCAATTGCGAGGACATCACCTCAAGGTTCAAAAACCACGGTCGAATCGTCTGCGTTTGGAGATCCGTTTTTCGCATCGGATTGTGAACCATTGGAACTCCCTACCGGAACATGTCGTATCAGCGCCATCCGTTGATTCATTCAAGGCGAGATTGGACCTCCTGTGTGCAACAAATCGAAAGGATTAACACAGGCATATAGCCTACTATCCTAAATAAATTGCAAACTGCAAACTATTCTCACTCAATAGCAATTTCTAACTTTGTACCGTTGAGTACCACGTAATTTACAATTTTTACCATTTTTTACTTCTAAAGCCACTTCTGAGTAATTATATCAATTATGTCACCCACCCCCCCGCACACCCTATTACTCAATAATACACTACTATACATTTTTGGTAAACTAGGACGAAACAGCTGTCCAGTACTCCCAGCTGGTTTTCCAGTGGTTCTCTAACTGATGTCAGCTCATGATGAAATCCTCCATGCAATCAAATATAAATACGACCGTTAAACAGCCTCTGAAGATGATTTCGTCGATAAAGAGAATTTTCTTCGCTGAATTTGTCTTTTATCTTCTTCGTGACTCAATGGGTATTTTCGGTAATATGGAATTACTCTTACTCAGCAAAAAATGCAAGAACATAGCAGTGTTAATTACCTCAAAAACTTTTTCTAACCGACGATTAAGCACAGCCGCATCTTTTGGACCACCAGGTAAAGAATTCCCACCAGCTGTACCAGAGTATAACTGACTACGACGTAGTAATATTTCATTACGTCCAACTTCATCTAGACGATGTAATAAAGCTTGATAATGTTGACGAATCCGTTCTCTAAATAGATTAGAAAAAATATCAAAATTAAAGAATGAGAATAATTAGCGCTGAGTTAATTAGTTATCCGGTAGAGGGTTATGTGAGCGCTAAGGATACTAGGCTATTAGCTAGGATGAAATGAGTGGAGGAGGATTCGAACCTGAGGCCTGTTAGTTGAATAAAAAGTAATTAAGTCAATGGGTCATATCCCCCCCCCCGATAGCCTATATAAAAGCTTCATTCTTAATCCCCGACCGATAGCTCCTACCTTGACGTGGTGGTGATCGCGCTTACATATCGCAATGATCCAACGAACTACACTGGCTGGAACTTATGTTCCTGTAGGTCCTACCATGCCAGAAAGATTGTTTGGATAGCGGTTAGACAAAAAGCAGCTACCCAATCCAATAATATGATTCAAACAAATTCAAAAAATATCATGCCGGATCGGTCGGGGCTCGGATTAACAACGACCGCGCTTCCTGCTGCCGTGTCACACGGCAGAAGTGATAAATGTGCTACTGAGACACACCAAATGAATAAGAACAAACAAAAACAGGCCGCGTGTGATCGGCCTCAAGCAGTTGGCCCCTGGGCTCTGCGGTCACGCAACACTCCTTCTGTTTCAGGTTCCCGAAGAATCAATCAACTTCCACGGTGTCGGCAGCCGGGAAGTAACAACCGCGCACACACTTCCAAAAGTACACGAAGCCTACCTGAGCATCATTCTCCCTTACTCACATCACCTTCCTCATCTTGCTTCTCTATTACAGTTAGCACTATTCTTCAGGCTAGTGAGTCATCTTCACTTCAATCTGTGTCCAGAAACAACGGTGAGAGCCATAGAAACACCCCAGACAGCCTTTTAAAGCCACGTCGCCAACTTCATATAGAAGCACTTAACGTCAGGACCCTCTGCCAAATCGGACAACAGGCATCACTAGCAAGAACTCTGGAATCTATAGCCATGGATGTATGTTGTGTTTCGGAGACACGCATTCAAGACCCGAGTGTGGTCATTCATTTAACCTCACCCGGTCAAAAAGGTGAATCTGCAAAAATTTTTACTTTAAGGGTGTCAGAAGACCCCTCAGCTAGCTTGCGAGGACTCAAATGTGTAGGGATAGCACTGAGTGTTAGGGCGGAAAAATCACTTCTTGACATGTGTTACGTATGCCTAGTCATCGCCTTCCTCAACGGACAGGCAATGTAAGCCGATATAGGGTCAGGCTGGAAAAGAGCTAGTGGCGGTCAAACGAAAACATGGCACCAGTCAATGAAATCTACAACAGTTAGTCTAAGCCACGTAGGAAAGTGTAGACTGGCTTCCTGGATGGTTGGGGTCCTCGGGACGGTAAAAACCAATGACGGCTGGAAACAATTGGTGACATGGCTCAAAATCGTTCTCAATGGCTGGCGCAGATGCATCCACTCCCTTTAACTTATGATTCCCAATGAAACTATATTGTTCTTCATTATTACTATTCCTTTTGTCTCACACCTCTGTTTACTGTCTCTAATGTTCATTTCTCTTACGTTCTTCTCTTGCTTTGTGTGCTACATGGAGTGTGGTGACTTGAACTGCCGCACATATGTGCAAAGTTCTATGTCGAAAACAGACAAACTTCCTTCTTAATCGCTCGACGAGTATCTAGTCTAAAAGGGTTCACAAGAACAATAACGCGTATGCTAGCAGAAAGGTTGTATTGGCTCTGTGGGTAGTGTGGAAAATTGAACACCATGTCGACACTGGACATTTTATCTCAACAAACTCCTTTTTCAAAATAATCTCTACAAAGTGAATATCAGTCTGCCGAAGACAATACTCGTTCGTCTCCTTTGCATCGCCGAGGCTTCTTTAGCCATTCAGTTAGAAAAACCGGGCATACACATACATAAGAAGATTATTATTCAACCACTTCTACTACTGGGCCGGTGCGCCCCTCCTTAGTCGACCTGGACAACCCGCCCTCCGACAGGTCATCCATATCGGCGCCGTACTTAGCGTGGACGCCCGATCAACATGAGCACCCATATGCCAGAACTCCCGGTCCCGCGAAATTCCGCACCCTGGCCTCCAAGTAGCTAGATTACTGGCGGACGCCACCACGCCCAGTGCGTTGGTGACATAGCGGTTAGGACGCTAGCCGACCATGCACATGCTCCGGGGTTCGATCCCCGGCCGACGCACTCCTTTAGCTCGCTAAGCCAGAAATAATGATGGTGAAGAGGAAAGGTTGGAAAGGGGGCTAGCAACCCCTGTAAAATAAACACTGCTACAGAAACTTCAAGCCACCAGCTTGAAGCCCTATGTTTCACCGGGAAACGTGAAGGAAAAGAAAAAAAAGAGAAAACTTCTACTACTATTCTGGGGTAAAGAACCTTGCCACTTTGATCACCGAATGATGTCAGTTAAAGAGCCACTAAAAAAATCATCAAAGTGTACTGGACAGCTATTTCGTCCTGGCTAACTAACTGACTGTCTGGTTTCAATATAGAACTCTGCACAGAAGTTCAACAGTTCAATTCGCCAAACTCCATGTAGAGCATAGAAAGGAAGGTAAAAGAGATGAAAAACAGATTAGCAAAAAATAAAGATAATAAGTAGAAACGTGAAGGAGAAAAAATAGTAACGTGGGAAGGTAATAGTATTTTCCTGAATGTGCGAAATCACAAAGAACCAATGAGAACGATTTTGAGTCATATTGTAACAACAGAAGGGAAGACACGGAAACAAAGGTATATCTATAGGTGATCAAACCGCTATTTATATATATATATATATATTCTCTAACCAATCACTGAGCGTGTGATTTTGGTTTACATTGAACGACGTGAAATAAAATGTTCAAATACACATAGAGTATTCTGTTGCTAATGCAGTATTGAACTGTGGGAATATGTAAGAATAATATTCCGTTGGGACAGATTGTTTGTAACACTGGCTGGATTCAACGTAGAACTTGGCACCGAAGTGCAGTAGTTCGACTTGCCACGTTCCAAATACCACACAAAGGTAGACAAGAAAATGAGTGAAGAGAATCAATAGAGTTTTGACAAGTATAAGAGTGAAACAGAATGAGTAATGGTAGAAAGGAATATGAAAGATTACAGAGACTGAATACATCTGCGTAAGCCATTGACAACGATTTTGGGCCATGTCACCTATTGTCTCCAGCCATTGATTCTTAGAGTCCCGAGGGCGGGCCCCAACCCGGACGTCTGCATCTCCCTACCTGACTCAGTTTAACTGTCAACGATTTCATGGATTGATGAGGCCATGTTTTTGTTTGGCCACCACTTACTCTTTTCCGACCTGCACCTATATCAGGTAGTAATGTCTGTCGCAGGAGGCGATAGTTAGGCATGCGCAGCACATGACCTAGCCATCTCAATCTATGTAACTTTATAGCCTCGTCGATTGATTTTCCCTCTTTGCCCAACACTCTACGCCTAACTTCAACATTACTTACCTTATGATACCACCTAACGCGAGAAAGAGATCGTAAACATCTGTGGTCAAAAACAGACAACCTTTTCATGTTTGTAACACACCACCACAATACCACCAATTGTCTCCAGCAATCGGTTCTTAGAATCCCGAGGACTCCTGCCAGCCAAGCAGTCTACACCTCACTATATACGACTGGTTCAAACTAACTGTTGTGGATTTCATTGACTGAGGAAGCCATGTTTTCGTTTGATCACCACTGGCTCTTTACCAACATGACGGAGATCCTGTGTCAGCTAGCATTGCCCGTCGGTCGAGGAAGGCGTGCATGGCTAGGCATGCATGTGTAACACGTGTCCTAACCATCTCAACCGATGCAACTTCACAACCTAGTCGGTTGATTTCCCCTCCTTACATAGCTCTCGACCGATGCCTAACCACCTCAATATTATTCACCCTAGTACACCTACCACCTAATAACGTGGGAGATAGAACGCAGGCACCTATGATGAAAGACAGTTAGCCAGACTTTTCATGTCTTCTACTTTCAATGGCCATATCTCGCTCACAGCCATAAAGGAGGACGGAGAGAACTGATGAGCAGTACACACGCCCTTTGGTCGACAGCTGACCAGATATCACGTCTACTAAACCAGAGATGGCGTCACTTGACATATCCCGAAAAAGCCTTCTGTGTATCCATGCTCAGATTTCGTCAGCGATCAACTGTCTGGTGCTGGCTGATGCAACTTCCACTAAAATAAGTGAAGTGGTCAACACGCTCAGCCACCACTTCAATCCCTATCTTTAAGCTAGAAGTGAGTCAATGCAGTCCAGTTCAGTAACACCATCATCTTACATTTGACGGGAGCGAATCGCAAACCAGAAACATTTTTTAAGATAATAAGTAGGAGTTTTTTTCACTCGTGTTTTCTGAGTAGAACATAGGGCTTCAAGCTTTAGCTTTTTATTGTGTAGGATTGTTTGCTTCACAACCAACCCCTTCCCTGCTTTTCAGTCTAACTATTGGCAAATAAGCTAGGCAAGGATTAGGAGTGCGATGGTCAAGAATCGAAGCCGAACCATCCATTATAAAGGCAATCCATGATAGTGTAAATCCCAGTCATCTATTTACTTAATAGCGGCTAGCAGTGGAATTCAAAACGTTTATTCTGTAATAATTGAGGCATCTCAGCTGGATGTGTATACATCCCAGTAAGTAGTAGTAGTATTACTATGTCAACACAAACTCCAACTCTACAACCATCATCCCCAAAGAATAAATTTTTATCCCCTAAGCTAACAGACTTTGAAAGTCACTCTACTATAGTAGCCAGTAGTATTCTGCTCGTCTGTGGTTTAATGTTAGGGTACTCGCCAACCATGAATACGGTCCAGGGTTCGATCTTCGGCTGAAGCACTCCTAAACCTCGTCTAGTTCACCAACTGATGGCAAGCTCAGATTACAGTGGAGGTTTGGTGTGAGACTAGCGCCCTCACTCAGTAAAACTAACACCACAACTACTGGAACTTCATGACCTCAAGCTTGGAGTTCTATATTTCACTCGGAGCTCAAAGCATGAAAAGAAACATCCTGCTACTCGTTTGGAGATCCGGATTTTTACAAAAGGCGTCTTGAATATCATTTTGCTTTGATTGGTTATTGTGGAATTCGGGAGAGGCTTTTTGGTGAAATGTTTTTTTTTTATTCTAACATGAATTCAAGGCAGATTTCATTACGAGACAATACCAGTTTTTAAAAAAACCAGTGAAGACCAGGGGGCACTAAACAGCTGTTTCGTTATACTCTGAGACTTTTCAGCAGTAATCGTCAACAAATCCACCAGAGTATCACACTCAGAAATTTCCAGTTACAAGGCGACTATTTTACCATTCTGTTAATGGGTCAGAACTCAATGACCTATGGATTTTAACCTCATGATTTAGATCAATAAAATCTCAATCACATGATTTCTCGGAAATCGTTCAGAAAGTTTTGATAAGTGTGATGTTAAATAAAAAGTGTTTCATTTTAGATGGTTGAAGGCAGTCGGCAAGAAGCCTTGTCGTTGGACGTTGGTTTTGTGCTTGCCACCAGTCATCAGCAAGGCGTATCTGAACCTTTGAAGGAGCAACTGATGTCCTCCATAGGACATTCCGATCTATATCACACAGGACTCACGAATAACCTCGCACGAAACTGTAATCTATAGCCGGATTGCCCACCATGCGTTCGGTCCTTGGCACTGGTGTAGATGGGATTCAGTCAGTAAGGTTGGCAATATCACTACCCGAATAACTCACCGTTAACCTCTCTGACTAACAGTGCTGGATGACGCGGGTTCGAATTTCAGAGGGAGTGTCAGTTCTTTCAAGGTTGCAGGCACGCCTTACTGACTACTAACACTAAGCATGGAAACTAGGTCCCAGGGGGATATCGTGCAGATGGCTTCCAACCACCTAACATCAATTCAGAGTGAACCACAACAGTAAGATACCAAATATTATGATTGTTCTCTTGGGTTTCGAGTGGAACATGGGATAACATCAACAGCTCATCTCCACATTGTCCTGTTCTCTGAAAACCTCTCAAGTTGGCCTCAACATTGACCATAGTCTGCAATCTCCTCCATGTCACCCTCAGACGCGCCACTTGTCCTTACTCATTCAGGTTCCACTCGAGGGTATGCTTGGTGCGTGATATCCGTTAACGGTCTCTTCAGCGTGTGTCCGAACCATCTCGATTTTTTCTACATATTTCTTGAGAAATAGGTTCTCAGTTGGTTCGTTTCCATAGTTTCCCGTAGCTCATTCTTTTTGGTCAGCCGACCATCTAATCTTCAGTATGCAGACAACTAGAGAAAGTGGCAGCTGTTGATAAAAGTCTGCAGCCGGTTGTTGGAAATGCTTTTCGTGACACATGGGCCAAATTTCTGACCCATATAGAAGCACCCACCAGCTTGAACTTTGTATTGGAAATGCGAGTTTAGTTCTTTCTGCTTGCTGAATGGAGAAAATTTCCAAACTGATTTCAGAGAATCACACCAAAAACCAAATATGATATGCACAACACCAGTTACTCCCTAATAAGTACTAAGTCTGTTTGTCTGTTTTTGACATACAACTTTGCACATATGTGCGCCAGTTCAAGTCGCCACACTCCATGTAGCACACAAAGCAAGAGAGAGACAAAGGAATAGTAATAACGAAGAACAAAACAGTTTCATTGGAAATCATGAGTCACAAGGAGTGGATGCATCTGCGCCACTGAGAACGATTTTGAGCCATGTCACCAATTGTTTCCAACCATTGGTTTTTACCGTCCGAGGACCCCAACCAGGAAGTCAGTCTACACCTTCCTACGTGGCTTAGACTAACTGTTGTAGATTTCATTGACTGGTGCCATGTCTTCGTTTGACCACCGCTAGCTCTTTTCCAGCCTGACCCTATATGAGCTAACATTGCTCATTGTCGAGGAAGGCGATGACTAGGCATACGTAACACATGTCCTAACCATCTCAGTCGATGTAATTTCACAGCCTCGTCGATTGATTCACCCTCCCTTCTTACCTAGCACTCGACCGATGCCTTACCTCAATATTGCTCACCCTATTACACCTACCACTTCACACGGGAGATAGAATGCAGACACCTATGATCAAAGACGGCTAATCTTTTCATGTCCCCCACTCTCAATGGCCAGGCCTCACAGCCATAAAGGAAGACGGAGCGGACTGATGAGCAGTACACCCACCCTTCGGTTGACAGGCAACCGCCCTTTGGTTGATAGGCAACCGGATATCACGTCAACGCCAGAGACGGCGTAAACTGGCATATGCGAAACTAGCCCTCTGTATTCGTGCTGAGATTTCGTCAACGATTAACCCGTTGGGGCTGATGATACTTCCCAAGTAAATGAAGTGGTCAACGTGCTCTACCACTTCACTGCCTATTTCTAATCCAGGAGTCAGTGTAGTCCAGTCCTGTAGAATCATCTTACATTTGGTGGGAAATAAGTACTAAGTATAATGTATTATTAATAATTTAACAACTAACTAGTAATGTCAATAACTCCTTACTTTCTCATTGCTTGACGTCCACGCATATCAGCTTTGATTAGATCTTCATTGGCCTGGATGGCATTAACACGTTCAACTGCTTGTATACGTTCTTCTTCTTTGTGTGCAGAAATAGTTGCATTATCGTCAACTCTTTCATTTTCATTATTCCTATCGTTATTTATAATCACTTTTGATGGTAGATTCTGTGAGTGCATTGTATTTTTAGCTTCTGTATCGTATACAAGGACAAGAGGTTCCTTTTCTGATAACAAAAAAATATGCAAGAAAAGAAGGCGGAGGGCAATTAAAATAAATCAATAACTTAATGATAATGTGGTGATAGCTGTCTGCTAGCTAAAATTGGTAGACAGCAATTTACGTCAATGCTTACTTCCCGAATCGGCGTCATGAGAAAAACACAATAACAAAGCTTAACCTTGAGGAACTCAACAACCAATCACAACACACTTAACGTGTACATATACGATTCGCATATATATGGCTTAACTTTCTGAAAAACAGTCACAAGCAGTACAGAATAACCTTCAGTAAGAAAACAACCATGCGTCGGTGGCATAGCGGTTAGGACGCTCACCGACCATGCACATAGTCCGGGGTTCGATCCCTGGCCGACTCAATCCTTTACCTCGCTAAGCCAGAAATAATGCTGGTGAAAAGGAAAGGTTAGGACATGTGCTACGTATGCCTAGTTATCGCCTTCCTCGACGGACGGGCAATGTTAGCTGATATAGGGTCAGGCTGGAAAAGAGCTAGCGGTGGTCAAACGAAAACATGTCACCAGTCAATGAAATCTACAACAGTTAGTCTAAGCCTCGAAGGAAGGTGTAGACTGGCTTCCTGGTTGGGGTCCTCGGGACGGTAAAAACCAATGGTTGGAAACAATTGGTGACATGGCTCAAAATCGTTCTCAATGGCGTAGATGCATCCACTCCTTGTGACTTATAATTTCCAATGAAACTATATGGTTCTTCGTTATTACTATTCCTTTGTCTCACACTTCTGTTTACTGTCTCTAATATGCAATACTCCTACTTTCTTCTCTTCCTTTGTGTGCTACATGGAGTGTGGCGACTTGAACTGCCGCACATATGTGCAAAGTTCTATGTCGAAAACCGACCGACCGACCGAAGAGGAAAGGTTGGGCATGAGGCTAGCAACCCAATCCTGTGAAATAAACACTGCTACAGAAACTTCAAGCCACTAGCGTGAAGCTCTATGTTGCACTGGGGAACGTGAAGGAAAAAAAGAAAACAACCAATCAGAAGAGGTTGCTTCTCTGCTGACAATGATGTACATAAAAATCTATAAATACCCATTGATTTCCTCAATAAAGGATCTGTTGCCTGGTCCTTGTCTTCTGTCATCAGAGTATTACTTATGTTACCCTACTACCGAGACTGAAAGAAAGTGTGAAAGGCTAGAGAAAACTTCTTACAGTCTACTTGGCTTTTGTGAACATAAACAACTTTAAAATATCTAATAATACTACTACTACTTTCGAAGCAGCACGTAGCACTAACCACAAGCAGATTTCCCTTTTCCTTTGGCATTAACTTTAAACTGACTCACTTTCTCCTCAAAATACCGAAAGCAGTGCGTAAAATCAGTGATAATGCTCGAAGATAAAAAAACATTCGAGAATATTATATTTGAGAATTATTATTGTGTCCTTTAGTCCCGCACGTCTCCAGTGCGTTCCCTTCTCCGCCAACCTTTTCACCTGACTCCACGTCTGCCCACATGCTTTCATCTCCTCTTTGCATGACCTCCTCTATGTCACCCTTGCATTGAAGAACAACTCACCGCTTCCCGTCCGGATTCCACTAGCGAGAGAGCCTGGCCAATCTACCTCCATTTCTTCCTGCATACTTCTAGCACGTTCCAAGAGATCCTTCATTATTGTTGATCCTTTCTGGCCGGCCATCTGATCTTGAGTAATATTGAGCGAAGACAGCTGTTGATGAAAGTCTGTAGTTTGTTTGAAGTGGCCTTCGTGACGCGGTGTGGCGCGGCGCCAATCCTCTGATCCGAATAGATGCACTGATTTCACATTGGAATTGAAAATCTGCACCTTGTTTTTGATGCTGAGGAGTGCTGTTGACCTCCACACAGACTTCAGACTAATGAAAGCTTGCCATGCTTTCCTGATGGTCCTAGCTTTGATATCCTCATCAGTTCCGTCCGCCTGTAGTTGAAACGACGCTTCTGAATGCACAATTTAAATTTAGCCTATTTGCTAAGCGATTTAATTAAAGCAAAATGTTACCGAACAACCATTTGCAACTCCATGTAGTTAGCAATGAACCATACCTATTGTGTGATGGATAGTGATACCATCAAGCTGCCCAATCCTCAGTAGGTGGAGCATGGTCCGAACCCGGGACGTTTTAATTACTCGTTATGATATATATTTTAACCACATATAGTCGGAAGTCATAGATTTGAAAAGTATAAACCAAGAATAAACAGAAAATTACTTAACCAAAGGAAAATAAACACCTCAAGATTAGTAACACGGAAAAATAGAGTATCGACATACCAACTGTAGATCCAAGATCCTTCTCAAGTAAGGTATTCTTAGGCGGAGGCAGAGAGGCGATCAAAGCAGCACGCATATTCTCAACATTTCTGACTTCTTTCATTCTTTCTTCAGTCTCATGCTTTGTCAGCTCTTCAATTCGTTTTTCTTCATGAAGTTTGTCTATAGCCAGATTGAATCGATCTTCAGCTCGTGTTTGTGCCACACGTAAGTTTTGTTCTATTTCTGGTGTAGGATCTTGCTGAAATAGTAAAAAGGGGGAATACTTTCATGATAATTTGTCTCAATATATGTAAGGACAGATCTCTTCGTAGGATGGGAATTAATTCCTGTGATGACTCACTTTATATATGTGTAAAACTTGGGCACTTTAGTGGTAAATCATTCCATATTAGTTTATTACATATATATCACACAGTCAGTGAAACAGTATTATTTACTGAATGAGAAAGTTTCCAACACAATTTATTGTGGTTTATAATCATATCAATTATAATTACACGACTTCGAAACTTGAGTTTTATGGTTTTCTTTGTTCTCTCCTATTTGTTGTCGTTGGGGTAGTAGAATTTTCCAGATATCCAGGTGGACAGCTGTCGAGTTATTCCTATTACACGTATTCTCTCTCAGTTGGTTCGATAAACAAAGCTCCGTTATCAATCTCCCTCTCTCTCCACCCTGCTGTTACATTAGATTTTAAAACTGACATCTTATCCCATCCATCCTATTGTATGGCTGTGCTGTGTGTAACTGCATGTAGTGAGTGGTATACCTGAACTATTCTCTAGATTTCTTATCTTATTCGGGCCAACTAATCTAGATTTTGCTAGGATTTTATGCTCGGCTAGTCTGACTGACTGCCCCTGTTCTACTAGTTTGCCCTATACATTTGAGCCCACTGACAATCATTGTAGGCAGGATATTAGATAAAGTAGATTGTTTTGTTTTAAAGGCTCCACTGGCAGGATCCTTTAACCGACAAAGCTTGTTTCTAATTGAGTTTGTGGGCGGTTTTAATGCTAGCCACTTTTATTCCTGCCTTGTTAAGAATTCTGCGTAAGGTTTCCGAGGTTCCTACTTCATATAGAAGTGTAGGGAGAGATTGATAACAGAAGCTTTGTTTATCAATTCAACTGCAAACACGTGTAATAGGAATGATTCAACACCTGTCCAGTCGGACATCTGGAAAATTCTACTACTACGCCTACGACGACAAATAGGAGAGATCAAGGAAAACTATAAAACTGAAGTTTCGAAGTCGTGTGATTATAATTGATTATATGATTATGAACAATAAGTGAATTGTGTCCAAAACTTTGTCATCCAGTAAATAGTAATACTGTTTCACTGACTGTGTGACATATCTAATAAACAAACTAATATGGAATGACTCACCTAAGTTTGATCATGGATCAGAAACCAAGGAGTACTGGACAGTTGTTTCATTCTAGTTCGAGACTCTTCATCAGTACGCACCCATGACCCCAACGCCAAGGATCCAATGTAGGGAAACGGGTGGGAGAAGGCAAATCATAAGTGAGACTATTTGTGAGAAAAATGGCTCCTTAATTAGCTCTCAGGATGGACGCCTCGAACGCTGGAAAGAACACTTCGAGGAACAGTTTAACTTGCCTACAGCCACACTGAGCCTCCCCGCCATCCAGCACACACCCGAATGGGACATAGACACTGGCCCGCCGTCTGTAAGTGAGGTCACCAAAGCTATCTGTAATTTGAAACGAGGCAAAGCGGCAGGACCCGACGGAATTATTCCGGAGGTGTTTAAATATGGGGGTGACATGCTAGTATATAGTTTAACTAAGGTACTACGCAACGTCTGGGAATCAGAGACGGTCCCATCAGACTGGGGTAAGTCACTTATTATACCAATATTCAAGAAGGGAGACAAGTCGTCATGTGATAATCATAGGGGGATCAGCTTAACGAACATAGTCTCTAAAATCCTAGGCTCGGTAATTATGAACAGGCTAAGCCGAACTCGGGAGGAACAAACGAGGGAAAACCAAGCAGGCTTTAGGCCAGGTAGAGGGTGCATAGATCACATCTTCACTCTCCGACAGATCCTAGAACATAGACACACTTTTAGGCGTCCAACAATTGCCATATTTCTTGACTTGAAAGCGGCCTTCGACTCCGTGGATCGAGAGGTTCTATGGCAATGTTTGACTATGAAGGGAGTGCCAAGAAAGTACATTGCACTAATCAAGGCACTCTACTCAAACTCACGTAGCTGTGTAAGGGCTTATGGGGAATTGTCATCTGAATTGATAACATCCAGTGGTGTCCGTCAGGGATGTCCACTTTCCCCTTTTCTGTTTAACTTCATCATAGATATGCTAATGGAAGTATCCTTAACCGAACGTAACGACTAAGGATTCGACTTGTTACCAGGGAATAGTCTTATAGACTTAGAATACACAGACGACATAGTCCTGTTAGGGGAGGACGCTGACAAAATGCAGAGTCTTCTGAACACCTTGAGCAGCAATCTTCGTATGTTTGGCATGCGATTCGCCCCTGTAAAATGTAAGATGCTGCTACAGGACTGGACTACGTCAACTCCAAGCTTAGTGATAGGGAGTGAAGTGATAGAACATGTTGACCACTTCACCTATTTAGGAAGTTGTATCAGCACCAACGGATTGATTGGTGACGAAATCACAGCACGGATCCAGAAAGCTAGGGCTGCTTTCGCTAACTTACACCGTCTCTGGCGTAGGCGTGACATCCGGCTGTCAACCAAGGGACGTGTATACTGCTCATCAGTTCGCTCCGTCCTTCTCTATGGCGGTGAGACGTGGCCATTGAGAGCGGAAGACATGAAGAGATTGTCTGTTTTTGACCACAGATGTTTACGATCTCTTTCTCACGTTAGGTGGTATAATAAAGTAAGTAATGTTGACGTTAGGCGTAGAGTGTTGGGCAAAGAGGGAAAATCACTCGAAGAGGCTATAAAGTTACATAGATTGAGATGGTTAGGCCACGTGCTGCGCATGCCTAACCATCGTCTCCCCCGACGGGCATTACTAGCTGATATAGGTGCAGGTTGGAAAAGAGTAAGTGGTGGCCAAACAAAAACATGGCCTCATCAATCCATGAAATCCCTGACAGTTAAACTGAGTCAGGTAGGGAGATGCAGACTTCCGGGTTGGGGCCCGCCCTCGGGACTCTAAGAATCAATGGCTGGAGACAATAGGTGACATGGCTCAAAATCGTTGTCAATGGCTTACGCAGATGTATTCAGTCTCTGTAATCTTTCATATTCCTTTCTACCATTACTCATTCTGTTTCACTCTTATACTTGTCAAAACTCTATTGATTCTCTTCATCCTCATTTTCTTGTCTACCTTTGTGTGCTATTTGGAACGTGGCAACTCGAACTGCTGCACTTCAGTGCCAAGTTCTATGTTGAATCCAGACAGACAGACAGATCCAATGTAGGACCTTCACATTAAAAGGAGATCTCGTTGACCACTCAGCCAGTGGAATAGAATCCAATAGTCCATGGATTCTAACTTCTGTCAATTTACGATTTTTGGTGCCACCCCCATGTAACGTCAGAAGACAAGGGCTAGGCAACAAATCGTTTATTGAGAAAATTAACAGATATTTATAGATTTTTATGTTCATTATTATTAGCGTTATTGTTAGCGTAGAAGCAGCCTCTTCTGATTGGTTATTTTCTTGCTGTCATCTCTTTGTGGCCGTTTCTTAGACAGTCCGGTGATATATCTGCTAATCGTATCCGCCCACGCTAAGTCTGCTGTGATTGGTTGTTGAGTTCCTCAAGGTTAAGCTTTGTTATTGTTTTTCTCATGACCCCGATTCGGGACGTAAACATTGACGTAAATTGTTGTCTACAATTTTGTCTTGCAGACAGCTCTCCTCACAGCCACACCCCGACCTGGTTGACCCCCTACTACTGCTCACGACTTCTCACTAGAACTCCCTCCAGGCAACATCGTCTTGTAATCCGTCAGTATTGAGCATCAGATTAATTCGCAAGTGTTCATTTCCAGTAATTTGACTGGGTTTAAGTTTAACCAAGGATTGACAACAGTTAGAAAACCGATGGAAACCAAGGATTACTTGCTATGACTCTTCAACCGTATGCACCCATGACTTCACAGAGGGTCGAAAACAGGAACTTCAGTTTACGATTATGCTAAGTTGTTGATCATTCTCAACCCACCGTTCAATACTTTCAGGTTTCCAATGGTTCTCTAACTGGTATCAGTTCGTAACGGAACTTGAAATTATTCAAATTCCTACAAGCCAACACTTGAAGACTCATTTAAGATTAAAAATTTTTCTGCAGAAATTATGAAATAAACACATAGCAAGAGCTTATTTACAGTGGCTATAACCAGTCATTGAACATTATTTCACCATAAATAGAAGATGCGTTTTCATAAGCTCATTTATAAACATCTATTGACCATTACAAAATAAAAACAAGGGAAAAGAACACAGTACTACTCTTTATCATTTGAAAAACTCCACGCACTCAAAAATGAGACATATTTACCATGTGAAGCAAATAATGTCACCTTCCTGAACATCTATAGCACGTCGTAGGATGTGAAGACAAATACTCGTCACCGATGACATTCGCTAGTGGTCGCGCCATATCATGAATTGACAGAAGTTGGAATTCATGGATTGGCCATTGGATCAGGTCCCAGTGGCTTAATGGTCTACGAGCTCGTCTTGTAGCTAGAAGATCCTGGGTTCGAACCCCCTGTGGTGGGTGCGTACTGATGAAGAGTCCAAAAGTAGGAAGAAACAGATGTCCAGTACTCCCAGCTGGCTTTCCAATGGTTTTCTGACCGATGTCAATTCATGAAGGAATCCTTATATATATATATATATATATATATATATATATATATATGTATATATATATAGCTGTATGAAGCAGGACTTGAGTTAACGAACTCGCCAGTTAGAAGATGAGTTTAGATAACAGTGAAGGTTAGGGACAATAACTGGCATACGTCAGTGAACAAAAATTATCTAAACTAAGGTAAGAATTCAAACACATAGTCAAATTTTATTCATAAAGAAAATAATGTTGAAATATCAATATTTGGAATCTTCAATTGATTAAACTGCTTTCAGGCAAATTCATAAAATGCTGTTCGACTGAAACAGCTTTTAACATCAGGACTAAAATAATTTATATCTAATGAAATCTAAAGCAGACATCAGTTGAACATGAGACTGAATTCCCTTTAAGGCAACCAGCTAGATTTTCCAGCTCAGATTCTTTACTGTTTACACAAACAGATGTACATCAAGTAGGATTTAGAACACTGGGTTACTCGATCCATGGTGCCAGCCAACAAACCATCACAACGATGTGTATGTTAACAAGAAGTAGGATAAGGCATTGAATATGATATCACAAGTTGTTAGAAGTAACAAGGCAAATACCGAGGAAGATGAAAGAAGTTTAAACGTGATTTAGTGGGTTTAGATAAAGACACACCATGTAATTTGTTTTGGATGTGTATCATTTACAGTTTCCCATGGACATCAGTCAGAGAGCTTAAATTTCTCCAAATAATAGAGACCGAATACTTGCAGATTCACTTGTATCCTATTTTTGGCTTGATTTTTGTTTAACTAGGAGTAGCACAGCTGCTACTTTTAAATGATGGTCGGGTTTGCGTATTACAATCATCTAATGGGCTGTGCTGGTTAAAAATAATGTTCCTGCAAGCCTTACCATACCAGGAAGATCGTTTGGACGGCGGTTAGACTAAAAACAGTTACCATCAAAGTGTAAGTTGCTGACACTATGTTGAAGACTCTGAGGGCGAAGTCGTACTGTTGACATATAAGGATTTAACAGCATAAGAGTGTTTCCCTCTGATGACCAGCAAGTCAGCTATGCTGCCTCTCCACCATGGGGAAGGTTATAAAAGGCCAACCCATAAAATGATACAACCTGACATGCCTCGCGGCATTTCCTAGCCGGCGGTAAGATCATAACGCGGACACGACTCCAAAAACCAATTCAAATAGGCTATCTGTGATCGATCTGGAGCAGTTGTCTCCTAAATTCTGCGCTGACGCTAAACTAATGTCCCATTTGTTTCAGGTATTTTAAGAAAAAAATCAGCTTCTACGGTGAGGACAGGCTTGAAGTAATAAGCACCCACACACTTCCAGTCAGTCATATTATATTGTGACCCTGCTTGTATTTCACACATAAGCCGCTTTTATCAGTATCCATCAATAACTTCATCAGTTGTCTTAACTACTTTATCTAATATTGGACGTTAGGTTTATTATTTACAGTTTTCTTCGACAAATTGATGAGTTCGGAGTTGAATGCGATAACGTCTTAATGTAGAGAAATTTACTATACTTGCTAGTTTCACAACACATTCTAGGTGTTCGTCCATTAAAAGACGAAACTAGCTTTTTCCTAAACCATTTTGGTAAAGGTGTTGCGGATGCTTGAAATCTATTTAGATTAATTTTCAGTAAATATTATTCTTTCTTTTCAGTTGAGGGTAACTTAGTAGTTTCCATTTTTCATTAAGAGTAACTAAAGATAAAGAAGCTCGACCATAACATTATGGTGAGAAGAACCAAAAAATTGCTAGTGTTTTTTCAATGCGTATACCCAAATTGGTTGAACGATAGCCCAATAGTAAATAACATTACTTTCTACTTTAAAAAAATACCAGTTAGCATTGTAACACGAATTACTCGGAACAACAAACACACTGAAACACTGTGAAAGACTAGATAATGAATTTTCCCAACAGACAGAGTTTTAACATTTTCATGTAAGAGGAGAGAAAAGGGGAGTAAACCTGAGAGAAGAAATAAAACGTGTAATACAATAGATCATTAGTCCCGTAAAAGAGCAAACACGTTTATTTTCTGATTGGACACTAGTGAGTAACTAGTGTGATGTGACTAGTCCTTTGTTTTGTGCAGACTGACTTCTATCAGACAACTTTGTAATGTGGCACTAGTGACACTAGTAACTAACTAGTGTCCAAGCAAAGTATCCAATACAGTAGTCCTACAGGAGGTTAATCACCAGTCCGAATAGCTCAGTGGTAACGTCTCTGACTGCAGTACTAATTGGGTGACGTGGGCTCGAATCTCAGATGGAGAGACATAAGTTCCTTCAAGGTTGCAAGTACGCCTTGCTGATTTGTGAGTTCCAACTAGCACAAAACCTAGGTTCAAGGCTTCCTTCCAATTGCCTTCAACCATCTAATAACAAGTCTACTTTTTATCACTCGGAGAATAACATCATGGATGGAGCTAGGATTACGGACAGAGCGGAGGATATGCAGCATATTTAAAATGTTCACGTAAGGTGAAAAACAGTGTATTTTACAAAGCAGCAACGGTAGCCAACTCTCTTGGATTCCATTAATGAACAGTATGACTAAAAGCACTGTATGCCATGGGCAATCGCCCAGGTAGGAATTGAAATTAAACTCTAAAACTAACTATTTCACGAATGGATGAGAATTGAGGTCAGTAGAGGACTTTGCATAACCTGAAAAATGTTTCTGTTTAGGGACTTATTCAAAACTTCAATTAACAAACAATCGAAATATCAACGAAAAAACGTTACAAGTAAGACCCTTAGAGCAATACCGAAAAGACTTGGAAGTATTTTCAGCATACGCATCAGTATGTTTTAGCCTGATATTACAACACATTCCTCAAATCCATGATTTTAATTCATCAAAATTAATTACGTGAAAAATGTCAAAAGAATTACAAGCATACAGTGAATGGAACGTTTTGGAAAACAAGTGGTGCAACAATGTATTACAATAATTGGATAAATAATTTTTGATAGTGTGTAGAATCTATAGTGGACAAAGAGAATCTTAAATCAATGGGGATCATATAAAGAATATTCCTTCTTAAAACTAGTATTATTACTGACCAAAATACAGAGTTGTTTCTATAATGCGCAAAAACCTGGATTCTAAAATTTACCCATTTTTCTGCAGCTCTGTGACCCGAACCGGACTGCCTTAAAACGTTGTAATATTCAGTCTTCTTTTCCTCCAACAATCTCAAATCATCCCTCATATGCTTAACCTGAGGCATTAAAATAATAATTCAATACCTGAAGCTCTTTTGCAACAATGTCAGATAGTTGTTGCTTCTTCGCATCGTACATTTTTCTAACTTTTGCAGCATTTTCTTTGGCTTGTGTTCGAACCTATGAATATAGACTGTAATCTCTATAAATTACTTGTAAAATCCTCAGCTTCTTGCGCCTCTCTATTTCTTCACGTTTTATTTGTTGCAACTCTGACAGAGTGGGGCCATAAGAATAGCAAGGATAATCAAGCATGAAGAAACGCCCGTAGCCAACACAAACTTCAAAAAAGTACCACCGATACAAAGGTCATGTAACCAGATTTCAGCGCCAAGAAACAAGCTTTCGAATAATTTTTTACAGGATGATAACAATCGTAATAAGATTCTCCCCTGTGTACCTCACTACAAGAGACTACCAAAAAACTGGAACTTTAATAACTGCAGTCAAATTATATATATATATATATATATGGAGGGGTCAAGGCTGGAAAACTAAATCCAGGCAGCCAGTCCTTGTCTTAAAGGAAACTCACTTATTCTGGAAAAGATTTATAGGGAGTCAACACATATGATTCCTGGCATGACTAATTTATAATACCGTACCATAAGCAGAGAGGGGTTGTTTAGAATTTTAAATAACGACTACGGACCTGGTCTCTCCTCTATTTTTCTTTCTAACAGGTCGAAGCACCCCAGAAGAAATTTCAGGAAAGCTTCGAAGCCAAATAGAAATCATATTACCGTAGAATATTGGCTCTCACACTGAGTAATCAACTCCTGGAACCAATTCCCATAAGAAGTGGTGTCAAAGCCTTCAACTGATTCATTCATGAAGGGTTTGGAAAGCACAGAAATTTACTGGAAAAGGACTAACAAAGGCTTCAAGCCCTCTATCCTCAATCATCATATCCGAATCTTCAGGCTTTTAAATTTTTTTTGTGAAATTCAGCTTTAGCTGTTATTTAAAGCTTGAGGAGAGTAGTCATCAAGTTGCTTCGATGGACATACAATGCATTCCACCTCTAATGTGGAGCGAAATACGACATCAGGTAGTGCTCATATCTCACAAGTCGACATCAGTTATGGAAATGAGATAGACAGATTGTGGTAATCCACCAACACCAAATTTAATATGTGATTCACTCATCATCAACTATAACGAATGATCTCAGCTAAAGAACAAGACACTGTGAGGATTTTAACTTGACTATTGACAGAGAGGCATCTCAACTAATTGCGAGGTACTAAGACTAAGCAGAAGTGATGGCTGATAATGCTAGTAGTCACAATATATGATCAAGGACGGAGACGGTTAAAAGGTTCATCGGTTTAAAGGAAACTAACTGTCATGCTCCAGAAGACTTACCAGTACGGTTAAACCAACAGTACAGTGCGAAGCATCTAAAGTTTGACAATCAGGGTAGCGTTCTTGGCCCTATTCTATTCCTCCTATTTATAAATGACATAGTCTCTGTGATCAAGTATGGCAAGCCATACCTCTTTGCAGATGATTTCAAGATAGTATATGATTATGGGTACGATGATATGAGCATCGAAAGCAAAATCCAACATGACTTAAACAATCTAGGCGATTGGAGCGAAAAGTGGCAACTGACTTTCAACCCAGACAAGTGCTGTATAGCCCACCTTGGACGCTGGAAACCGAGAATGTGCCTATATATGTACGCTAAGCTCCTCTCGAAACTGAACACTGTCACAGATCTCGGGATAACATACTCAGATCTAACCTTCTCCGATCATGCAAATAAGGTTGTATCCGACTGTAAACGACTTATTGGCTTTGTGCTGCGTAACTTCTACACCCAAGAAGCAAGATTAGCTATATATAGAACGTGTATCCGCCCCAAACTTGAATATTGTGCTCTCCTGTATAGTAACCTAAGGTCTGCAGACCGAAAAAAATCGAAAGTGTTCAGAGATTCCTAACGAAACGCATAATAGGGTTTGACCAACCAGTGGAATATGTTGACAGGTGTATGCGTCTGAATTTAGAATCTCTGTGGTTAAGGAGAGTGAAGTGCAACTTATTTCTACTATTCAAAGTCATAAGAAAACACTGTTATAGTAACTCATCCATAACGTGGGAAAATATTAAATCATATAAGCTGCGAAACCACAACTACCTTGTCAAGGTGGCTACCTACAGAAAATCCATTAGGGCAAACTTTTTCACCATTAAATATTGCACTCTTTGGAAACAACTACCATCTGAAATTAGATGTTTTGAAAACCCCAATAGGTTCAAACGGAGCCTAGAGAGACACATTAACATTTCCAACCTAGCTTGTCTAAAAGACCACAAATGTTGGTAAAATGGTAAGTAAAAGCCGGTTCAGTCTTCAGCTCAGTCAGTTACATATAACTCGACTCTACTACTTACGCAGCGAACGTTTAACTAATTTACTGATTTTCCTTTCTGTATAGACTTCAATAATTTATGTTAATATAAGTACTTCTAGAAACAACTATATTAGCAACCACACCTTTTAATATTTTACATATGTATATACAGTTAATAATACAATGCTACTTTTTGTGTCTGAATGACTTTACTCAGCCAATAACCACCTTTTCTCATACACCTTCCTAAAACGTATAATCTTTATAATATTTCGCAGTATTTTTAACATTATATAAGTTGAAGGGTTACTTTGCAATATCTAATGCGCACCGTATGAAAATCGTTCATGAAAATTTAGCATAACTAGCTCTGTTAACCGGCTGTTTTCTTCAGGATCATTATATATAATTTTATCACTAATTTTTCCACTACACTGCTAAATAGACTTCAACTTAGTTGCTGTAATACTAGCTACTTCTATACTTCATACTTCTTAAACACAATTTCCTAGGCGTCTGCTACAAATATATTCTTAACATTAGTAGTACTATTTTTGAGTTTAAATGACTATCTTCAGTCAACAGTTATCCATTTTCAGATAATTTTCTAAAAAAATTCATATTGTTGAAATTATGTAGTATTTTTCCATTATGTAATTGATGAGTCACTTCGCAATGTGTAACGCACACCATATAAAATCGGTCGTGAAAATTTAGCATAACAAGTTCTGCTAATCAGTCGCCTTACTCAGAACCACTTTACATAACTTTATCACTAATTGTTCCACTACTCATATCACTGCTAAATAGAATATAACTTAGTTGCTCTAATATTGGCTATTTTTATCCTTCATAACTCCTAAGGGAAACCTAATTTCTTAGTCTTTTGTAGTAATCCACTTGTTCACCAGTATGATGATAATATTGCTAACAATGTCCTCTGGTATTATTGTGCCATGTGACCTAATGGGAAGCACTTGTCATGAAAGCTGTTAATGTGCAGCATACTGTATGATTGGGACGGAGTCAAAGCAATCCAATATTACAACTGCAGTCATTGCAAAAGGTCTCAGAGCTTAATGTCAAAAAAGGAGGGAGGGTGGTGCATGCTGATCAGCAGATTTGGTAGTGGTCACAAATGTGAATCGCTCCGATCTGTAGGACAGCAACATGCATTATTTAGCTACCGCACCGCCCGCGGAACGCCTTCAGCTAAGGCTGGACAACCATGCAGCAACACGTGGACTGCATCTAAACGGCCTATCTCCTTAAAATCTCATACGCTATTAATGATCAGACACCCAAGCTCATCGTTTTACGTCACATTCTCTCTTGTCTTACTCTCTTGACTACTCCAGATACTACATCCCTTACACTATCATTATAGTGTATATATACATATATATCAATCTCAGTTTTCATTAGCTGTCTGTTTTTACGCCTTCTTTTAATTTGCATAACCTATACTAATTTTATCTGTAATTATTATCTCTTTTCCTTCGTCGACGACACCGAACGACTAACTGGTAAAATGATTAACTCCATTCACAGTTGCAACACGGTGTCGTAACACATTGCACACTACAAACTATATATAATTAATCCCAGCACCAATCCTATTGGAGTCAACCAAGCTATAACACTCAAGTGGCTGAGCGAACTACGCAGAAGTTTACCGAAGACCAGGAACCTTTGCCTCACAACCAAGAAGCGAGCACAAAAAAATGAAATTGGTTCACACTGGCTCTTAAAAAACGGTATTGGATATTGTCCACCTAGGCTGTGAGAAATGACCACTGAAGCTGGGAGATATGTAAAGACTACTGGCGTTTGATTGTAGGTATCTGTTCTCTGTCTCCTGTGTTTAGTAGTATAATATGGTGAGTAGCATTGGGGTTAAGCATATAGTGCCAAGTAGAGACGTGAATCCAAATCGTTGTTAATGACAGATGCATTCATTCTGTGTAATCTCACATATCTGAGCAATCCTTATATTTTTCCTATGTCGGTATTCGTTCTCTATCACATTTGTGCTCGTTAGAGCTTCTTCTAATTTCTTTTTTCTCTGCCTTTGTGCGCTATATGGAATGTGGTAACTTAAATAGGTGCACTTGCGTGCAGACTTCTATGTTGGAAGTAATTCATTTAGAATGGCATATAGTCTGAGTGTTACGAAATATTAAACAGTGGACAATAACCACAGAAATGCCGGCAAATCATAATAGTATTTTTTTATCTGGTTCTTGTTTAACTGAGAAAAGGCCATCTGACAATGGTCTCTTCTTTTTCTCGGGATAAGTTTAACACTTTTTCTCGTCATATCTCATGAGTTAGTTTATTTCATGCCATTGCCTAAATGCCAAGTCGAAACACATATGATGAAATTTTTTTGCTTTTTACCAAATAAATATCATGTTTTCCAAGTGTGGAATGTAGCAGCCTGAGCTGCCTCACTTCTGTGCTGAGTTTTATGTTAAAGCTCAGTCAGTCAGCACTTGTCACTGCAACTGCCTAGTGTCAAAACTCGTTGCGGCAGCAATTGCTTTAAACAATTATTAATGCCTTTTACTAAGTACTGTGTGCATTCTCCCAACTCCTTGAATTGTCCAGAAAAAGTGCACTGAGGAGGAAACGGTGAACCAGAAGTCAGTAGCCTAGAAATAAATAGTAGGAATCGAAGTGAATGAGATGAGCGACATTTTGTTTTCCATGAAGTAGTACTTATCTTATGCACTTTTCTCCTAATTATTCCTTATTGTTTGTTTTATTCTAGGATTTTACTCACATTCCATGTGATATCTTCTCACATATTTTCTTTATGGAATCGTTTGTTTCATCTACCTCCAACAATTTTTGCATGAAGGCTTGAGATTTTACCGCTGTGCTGCATTTCAATCAGTATGCTTGT